ATGTGCGCGGTCAGTGTCGTGCAATGTTATCGCATGAGCTGATCGTTTAGTAACCGGTGGTGTTAGTGGACAGTATAGCGTAACTTGTAGTTCCTTGGTCCTTTTTTATTTTCTATAAAGAGTTATAACTCCTAAGGGGCCGTCCGGGGTTGCCAATAGTTTTTGCAAAACGAAAAGTTTTCGTATTTTTCAGCACCCACCCACCTACCTTTTCTGCAGGTAAAACGAATTCCAATAAATATTGCTGTCAATTTTCGACACCCAAAAGTAACTGGGCGTTCTCCATCTGCATTCAATAATTATTTTCAAAACGAAACTCCTTCAAGCCCACCCACCCCCAAACGAAAACTTTTCGTTTTGAAAATACTATTGTTAACCTTGGACGGCCCCCTGCAGAACTTATTGGTCGTTACCTTAACGTGAGAAACTCTCGCTAAACGCTTTTTTCGGGACCATCACGCATTTGCGGATATACTCCAATTTCAGAAATTTTCGGTGCTCAATAGTTTCGGTAGGTGGGCAGAAATTTCAGATACAGGGAAGCAGTTCCCTATTGGATTATGTGTGTTAGTATTTGTTCGGTTTATTGAAATTTTAGGTATGAAACAGATGCACCGAAACTACCGAAAATAGAAGTACACCGAAAATGTGTGAAATTACAGTAAGTCGCCGCAAACTGCTCTGCACATTGATTGTAGACAGCGCAAAATCCAACTGAAGAGGCAAAGCCGCAAAAGATTCTTATCGCTAATAACCAGTGCAATTCTTGAAAATGCGAAATTTGCACACCGCAAACGTTTATTGGTTCTAGCACATTAGGGAGCCGGTCACATTGAGGGAACAATCCTCAGATTATAAACCGGGAATAATTTTTCCTACTTTTCATCACGGCCACACTGGATACGCACGATGAAAAAATTCTCACCCGCACGAGCTATTTTTTGTCACCATTCGCTTCTGGCAGTCTGGCAGCCAACCTCCTGGCCAGAGCTGCATCATCACAGCCTCACACACAATGGAAATTCTAGGAATAAGCTGCAGCAGCTCACTTTCACTCCACTTCATAACGCAAAAAAAAAACACAAGGAAACTCAAAGAAATCCAGTGGAAGCCGCGGATGATTATGATCTTCAGCGGAAAAGCGGGGCCTCGAGCTGATTTTCATCGAGTGGATTAAATCTCTCAAATCTCCCGCTCAGCGGCAAATATCCATAGTAGCTACGGATTTTTAAAATTTTTCCCTCAATGCAACCGGCCCTTGAAACCTCTAAAACAAAACTTCTAAAAATTCGATTATAAATTCGTTCTGTACATGTCTAGCTAAAGTGGCGCAAGACGAGCGTTCCAGAGACCTTCACAACGTGCTCGCAGTGCACAGCTGGCCTCCTTATCCGGGTCATTTGACTGGAAATATGCCCAGTGTGCGGCGACGTAACTTGTACCATAAACCGCCACTGCACACTGAGCCCCTTGGGCATGGTCGTGTGGGGTGTTGAACAGCGCGTTGCTGATCTATGGCCCTCTTCAGCCTTCGTACAAAAACAGCCTATAAGTCACATTTACATAGACGTTTCCAAGACAACTACAAAAACAGCCTCTAAGTCACATTTACAAAGACGTTTCCAAGACAACTACAAAACAGCCTATAAGTCACATTTACAAAGACGTTTCCAAGACAACTACAAGAACAGGGCGGGAAGTCTAAAAGGCTGCCGAATCCTTTCGGGCAGGGTGCGAACCCTTGTACTAGGCAACTTTCCTGCAGTTATCATACTTTCACCAGGCAGTCGCACAAGCGTACAGACTATGTACAATTGCCGGCTACTTTCACACATCCCCAGGCTCCTTACGCAATTGCGTGGGGTCAACGGTTATCTGTATGTATGGTGTGTATAGTCTGAATGTAGGCTAGGACAAATGTATGTATGATGTGTATAGTCCGAATGTAGGCTAGGACAAATGCTGCCATTTAGGTGTTATCTGATTCCATTAACAAGAGTGTGCAACGCGCGATAGGGTCTTGTCACGACTCGTTTTCAACATCACGTCATTTTCATGTAGCGAATGCTGCGGCCTGCGCGCACAGCTACATGAAAATGACGTAATGTTGAAAACGAGTCGTGACAGACATCTATGTGGTGTTGCACACTCTTGTTTACGGACTCTTGCTGTTATGTGATTCGTTGCCGGATGTTCTATGTGCGTGGTCTGTAGAGGGCCTAGGGTTGTGTAGGGTGTTGAACAGTGCATTGCTGATCTATGGTTGGGTTTTTTGAATTACTACTTGTTCTCACGATGGCACCATCGCCAATAAGAGATAGGGTTGTGTGGGGTGTTGAACAGGGCATTGCTGATCTATGGTTGTGTAGGGAGTCACAGTGAACAGCGTATTCCTGAGGGAATGTCCAGCAGTGAGAATATTTCTGTGGAAGAGCTAATCGCTACAACGTATTCCCACACACCCCTCCCAAACAAAAAAATTAAAATTAAAAAATTAAAAAAATTAAAAAGTTATTCTTGTCCAATGCTACCTAATGTATTGTATGATCTGTTGCTAGCGGAATGCAGTCCACTCCACTTATAACAAACTTTAGGGTTCACGGATTGGCATGCTAGCGTCGCCAGCTACAGCGTGCACGTGACAGGCGCGTGACATATACTTTACCACACAATCAGTGAGTGCTCAAATTGCATTTTCCCATCAATATCACTCACTTTCAACTCTAGGGGATTCATTACGGTTGGCTCAAACTGCCTGAATTTTAGAATCCATACACACGAAAGACGTTCCAAGACTTCCACCGTTCGTATTTTTTCAAACGAGTTCCGGGTTTTCCAGTAACTTTGGCCAAAGTTCGGCTAAAAAAACAGGGGGAGCCGATGCGTTTCCGTAAAATGTTGAACGGCAAAAGGATAGCCAAACAACAAGCCATTGTTTGTCAAAATCGAACAAGAAACGGCTCAGCGCATCTATTTTCCGTGCGCGTACTTTGGCCGACAAGGTGTGCAGAATTTCTGAAGAAGAAGAATAACAAGAGCAGCAGCGCTCGGAACAGCCGTGCTGGATACTTCCAATCCCGACACGATGGAGCGTGTTGGCTGTCGTGAGCTGCTGAAACGACCATGACATTTCTTTTTCTTTGTATACCCTGCATATCTTGACGTGCCCTTGCTCAGTTTCGGCCTCTTTACAGGAAGATTATTTTCTTTCCTTGGCATCAGCCATTTCGGCCAAACAGCAAGAAGAGCAACAGATCGAGATTTGCAGGGCAAACAAAGGATGCGTGCAGCTACATCTAGTCAGGTTCGATGCAGCTGCGCTTTGCCAGAACCTCAGCAGACAAGAAAAGGCGACAGGGTGTCTTAGATGGAACTGGATCTTTCGCCAAGACCGCCACCGCCGCCATCATCA